CTGTGGAGTCTCCTTCTCTGGAGATATTCCAGCCCCGCCTGGATGCGGTGCTGTGCAGCCTGCTGTGGGTGACCCTGCTTGGGCAGGGGGTTGGGCTGGATGACCCACAGAGATCCCTTCCAACCCCAAACATTCTGTGATTCTGTGATTCTGTGATCCCACCTCTGTTATTGGCAGAAGATTAGACCCGGGATCCCCCAGAGGAACCCAGCGCTCCCTGCAACAGAGAAGCCCTCAACACACAGAAATGTGGGGTTTTCCTGAAGAAGAGGCAGAAGGAAATGGCCTGGCCTCTTCTGCCTGGGTGCCCGGAATGGTAGCCCTGCATTTCCCAGCTGCAGAAGTTGCACATGTTGCAATTTAGGGGGTCACCCACTGCAGCTGGCTCTTCCCTCCACTGACCAGCGAAACAGGGACACACTTTGTGCTTATATTAAACATGTTTTCTTGCTTTTTCACCTCTTTTAAAACAGCAGTGCAGCCACCTAACTTTTCCCCAGTGAAAGACACTCGAAGGAAAAAGAAGCTGTGTTTGCCCTGTCCTGACAGCCAGGAAATGTCCAAAACCTCACTGGGTGACTCATCTCCTCTTGCGATGACAGAGGCCAAATGTATCCAGGTGTGAACAGACGTCCAAGAAAAACAGAAAACATATCTTCCCCAGTGTGGTCAGTCACCATTACTGCTAAAAATGTGGTCTCTTTTTCATTTGAGTCTGTTCACATTCTAAATTCTAGCTGCACCAAGAAGCAGATTTACGTCCTGGAAAGCACCATTTATTGGAGAAGTAGCTGAATATTCATACTTTTGGAAGCCAGTACTGACAAATTACTGGATTACAGGGTTTTCCTGTGTTTACAGCGAGAAAACACCAGCTACGGGCTCACTGACCTAGCAGTAGGAGACAAAGACACAACAAGCGATTGCTCAGTGCTGCCTTTGGCACGCTAAATAACAGAGAAACAGCACTCAGCTCTGACTAACATACTGGGCTCGGTTTAAAGTTTTACCCTGGGAGAACCACTCTGCAGCACAGATCATACGGTACTTACACTCCACATCTTTGCAGGAGCAACAAGGGACGAAAGCCACTACTTTTGTGCTTAATTTCAATAAAAGAGATACATAAAAATGGGGAAATTGTTAAAAAGAAGACGAAAGGGACAGCTAAAAGAGTTAAATCCTTGCAAATAGATTCTTTGCAAGCACCGTGGGAGCTATTAAAGGCCTCTGTATCGGAGACTGAGAGAAAATGTATGACACCTATTAAAAAAAGCCCTGAGAAAGAGCAAAAAGGAAAAGGTCATAGCAGAACAGTGGGATGAAGAAGGTTGTTAGAAAGAAGAAGCTGAAATGGTGTCCAAATGCAGAAAACAGAATATATAATAAATTGTGCCTGACAAAGTGTAAAACACAATAAGGCAACTCAACAGAGAATCACAGGAAGAACTTGCAAAAGGCAAAGAATCCTTCTAACATAAACCCTTTTTTTCCCAAACGCATCAGGAACAGGAAGCCTGATGAAGAGCGTGTAGGGCAGGAGATGGTCGGAGCAGTAAAGCTAATAAAAGCTCAGGCCACTCCATGGGAGATAAATGAAATATCTGCCGCCGCGTTCACCTCACAAGAAACAAGGGAGGTCTTCACGTTGAACTCTCCTTTGTGGAGACTCATCAAAGGACTTCTCTTAAATGTAAAGGACGTGGAAGAGAGGAAATAAGCAGCAACAAATCGCCAGCTTCCAGATCTTTTCCCCCCAAAATTCCTAAGGGAATTCAAGGATGAAATCGC